ATATATAATTATTTAACAGTCCCTACATTATTTTATTGTTATCAAACTATATCATTTATCTGTCACGTAGATTTAATCATCTCAAGTGGAGACGAAGAGTCTTTTCGTTAAGCTGCTCGCTTATTCATTTTTGCAAAGTAAAATATTCGGCCCTCGTCATTGGACGAGAATGAAAACGCGTTCGATGCTCCGGGTGGTAAACAATATCGGATCTCGGCGCACTATGATCACTATGAAATGGCACACGAGAGTCTACTCACCAGTAATATCGAGAGTGTACGAGCCGTAATTGTACATTTGTCGATGGTAATGCACACAAGACAAGTAGAGTAACGCCGTCGTCAGTACGACTCTGAAACGTATTAGCAAGATGAGTCGTTAAGTTCAAGGAACGATCATTGACCGTGGCGGACAAGAATAAACGTGAAAAGGCTTCGGTCATTAACATTCGCCGATTACGATACCCACTTATAACATAATAATGTACGTGAAATATTTGTTAAATATATATAAGAAACGGAGGAGTTGAAGGAAAAGTCTAACTTCATTTTTGTTCGCATGGATCATGGATCATGGATCGTGTACGAACGACGAACGTATAAAATAAAAAATGGAAAATTCTTGCGTCGAATTTAACTCAATAATTTGATTTCTAATTAATAATTGTACGAGTTCTTGCTGAGAGAATAGTGCCAATTTTCAGTCATTGTTTAGTACATGCTATTTGGAAATGAAATATATTAAGAAATCTATCATTGCTTTTCTATGTACGAATAAACAATAAATCTAGAAATAAGCACTCGCAGTGTTTGTAAATTTAAATGAACGGTAACTTTCTTGCCCCTACCGAAGAAATTTTACGTTTTGGCACTTACAATGTTTTGTACAAGATCAGACTACTCTTCAATTACTAGTTCTTAGTACTACGATTAATCGTACGATTGTTAATTATTAATTGAAATGAAAATTTAAATGTCCAAAAATACAAGAATTTTATCTTTCTGTTCCATTGCTTTTAATAATAATACAATCGGATGAATTCACAAGGAAGCATATGCTTGACACTGCAAGTTGTAAGACGAGTCTGACACCGCAAGGACATTGTTCTACTTGAAATGACACCGCTCGACTAGTTTCTGTTGAAGAATGCATTTCTATTTGCCTTTTCTACTACTTAACTATGCATAATTTCTTAACACGTTAAACGCCAAACCTGTTTTTTTCTTCCTTTCCGTTTAACCCGCGAAATCCCATACTAGTTGTCAGAGATCTATGTAAGGTTGCGATAAGACTGTATGTATATCTTCAAATATATCTCTTGTATGTATTTATCGCAATCTGTACTCTGTATTCTTCTAGTAACATTTCGGTACATTCTTTTATGATCTCTAAATTATTTAAAATTTATTAATATGTACTGGCGCGGAAAGTATAATGTCAGTCACATGGCGCTTAACGTGTCAATGATATTCTTAATGATATTAATTGAATTCTCCAGCACATCCTTATTTATTTGTTGGCATATATGAAAAAAGAGATACATAAACTTTTTGATATAACCTTCCATTCAAAATTAATTCTAAAATTAATATAAATATGGACGTAGATATAGATTTGTATCTATATTAATATTAATATTTTGCATCAATTCTATTGCGTTAATTAATAAAACGTTCCGTCATTATGAGATAAAAATGAATAAAAAAATGTACTTGGAATCCATTCAAAGGATATGGAAGACGTACGAATTACTTCTGGAAAAAGACTGCGTCTACAAATTACATCTAGATTGATAATGTGATGATATAAAACGGGATTTCACCCTATGATGAAATTCAAAAATCGTTAAGCGATTGGAAGAAAATCTTTCAAGTATCAAATCTTACCAACTCTGCTACCAACATGTTTTTTCAAGAATATTTTTCTCAAAAAAAAAAAAAAAAATATATATATATATTTTTCATTCTTCTCTTTTCTTTTTCTCCAATTACAGAAAGATGGCTGAGAGAAGCGTATCTACAGTAATTAATGGAACGAATCAATATGCTCGCGATAAGTTTAATCATAATGAAGATATCGCTCTGAATAACTTGCCTCTGTATATTACGAGGATTTTGTGTGCGCATTGCTATGTAACACAAGGCGGGGAGACCTGCAAGGTGTATCGCCTGCCTGAAAACATACGAATTTTCTTATTTAATGAAGCAGAGTAGTTAAATGCAGAGGACGATCTCCGGAGATCTCGACGAACGTTCTCTTTCTTCTTAATCTTCCGCGCTAATATATACAATTAAGTACACGATGTCCGATTATAAATGTATTTTGTAATCTTCTCTGGAGTGAAGTGTTATTTCAAACAAAGATTATTACAGAGAGAAAATGTAAATTGATCTTTGTAATATTTTCCGGATACTATTGTATTCACTTTGAGAGATGATATATAATTCAATAATTATTGGAATTATTTTATATGTAATTTATTTTATCTTTGTAATATTTTCCGGATACTTTGTATTCACTTTGAAGATAATATACTTCAATAATTATTGGAATTATTTTATATGTAATAAAATACCAAAATCAAGTTCTCGTTACGATATTAGAATAGGTGACACAAATCTCTGTCTGCATCCAATTGCATTTATAAAAGTATCTCTATAAAAATA